GGGCCCTCCTGGACAGCCTCGGGGGCCTCCTGGGCAGTCGTGGAGGCCCTGGCGAGCCCTGGGAAGGACCCTCCGGGAGTGTGGGTGGTGCAGTCGGGTGGGTGGTTACCAGAGCGGGTGGGGGGCCCCTGAGGACGCACAAATCCTGCCAGGCAGCCCTTGGCACTCTTCCACGCCTCCACGTGCCGCAGGCACGGTGGCGGATGACATGAAGCGCCTCCGGCGTGCACCGTGGGTTCTGGGGTGAAACAACATTTTCTCTAATTGTAGGATGCGGGCTGCACCGGGCAACTCGCTGGCGGATGATGGGAACATGGCCGTTTTGCTCGAGACATCCTCGAACAATCGGCTCCAGATTGGACTCCGAACCAGTAGTATCTTGGAATCGCTCCTGGAGGCCTTCAAATTTCCCAGGAGAGCTCCCGAAAGCCCCTCCCCAGGGGACACTAAAAGCGCTCCGAGGGGTCCCCAAGAGGCACCCAGAGGTCCCTAAGAGCGCCCGATGAGGCCCTAGGACTGCCCAAGAGGACCCCAAGGCGGCCCAAAACAACCCAAGATGGCGCCAAGATGGCTGGAGAGAGCCCCCACAGAACCCTGAGGCATGCCGTGGCAGCCCAAGAAGACTCCAGTAGCCCTCAAGAGGACCCCGACAGACCCCCAAGAGGCTCCCAGGATGCCCCAAGAAATCTCCGGACGGCCCCAACGGCCTCCAGGGTAGCCTCAAAAGATCACGAGGACCCCTCTCTTCTTCGACGTCCTCTTCGTCGGGCTCCTTGCCGTCCTTCGTCGTCGTCGTCGTCGTCGTCGGCGTCGTCCTTCTCCTTCTCCTCCTCCTCCTCCTCCGCTTCGTTCCTCCTCGGACTCGTCCTCCTGAATCTCTTCCTCCTCGTCCTCGTGGTTGTCTTTCTTCTCGTTGTCCTTCTGCTCCCATCGCTGCCCTCCCTGTCATCCACGCTGCCATTCTCGACATCCGCCGCCTTGTCGTCGCCATCATCCTGTTCTTCTTCTCCCCCTACGAGC